GCCTTAGGCAAGACACTGCCTCGCTCTGTGCCTCAGTTTCCCCATATGTGAAACGGCAAAAATGATACTTTGTCTTCCTGGGTAAAGCACTTTGAGAAAAGGGCGAAAAGTGTCATATGTGATAAGCACTGCCGCTGTTATATCAGTGGAAATGTAACATTCCAGACGCCCAACCATTGCACCGTAGCAAATGTAAATACAATACCACCATAAAATACTCTTTAAAGATCTAGAGCTTTATTGAATTAAAACAAAAACAAAATGTCCTGAACCAAAACATCGAACCCCCAAGCAAAATCTTTTTTTCCTTTAAAACTAACAGTCTCCATTTATTCTGATCATGTGATCATAGTCAAGTGTTGATTCTATGGACTGTCAAGCCATATTTTAGAGTACAGAAATCATCTGCAGTATTGTCCTGGGATGGCCTTTCCATCAGCCATTCAAATCCTATATTTAGTCACGTAGATCCAAATGTAAGTGCACACATTGGACAATGACTTACCCAAGTGAAGATGATCCAAGTGCAGAACCTGGATGTCCTATGAAAGTGTCTGAAAATAAGGCTCTATAGGCTAACTATATCCCTGATATAACTCACCGAATTTATGGAGTTAGCGAAGTGGTTGGTTTGGTCCTACATTTCTTAATTGTGCACTCTTTTCTGTCTTTCTTTTGTCATGTTGATTCTAAGAGCATTTGAATTGCCAGTCTTGGTCAGACCCATAGTTCCCCCAGCTCAGTATCCCATCTCTCGCGCCAGCACCAGGTTCATCTGAGGAAGGTACAGGAATCCCCATAGCAGGTGGGTGTTCCTCTCCTGTAAACTTCTTCCACTGCAGCTCGGTCTTCAGTTCCCTTGAATTTTGCAGACATTATTTACATATCCCTGTAAAAAACATACCAAAAACTGAGAGGTTCTTGCCCAGTTCTTCCCCTTATTTGTTCCTAAAAGCTCCTAAGATGAAAGTATTTGCATAAGCCCCATGTGCTTTCAGTGTTAACTCAAAAAGAACACAGACCCTTAGCTTTCAAAGTGAAGGAGGAGAATTGTCTAAACTTCAAAGAAATAAAGTTATCTAGTAGGAAAAATCATGCATTTGTCTGGTGGCAACTATAACAGATCCTGCATGACTTACTACATGGTTTTTCTGCAGTCTAAGCTCACATTGAGTTGACTACCTCAGTCCAGTGTTCCTTCTAATTTTTCCCATCCATGTGCAGAATAAATTGTGTTATGTATTGACATGATAGCGGTTTTCAAGTATCTAAAAGGGTGTTACAAGGAGGAGGGAGAAAAATTGTTCCCCTTGGCCCCTGAGGATAGGCCAAGAAGCAATGGGCTTCAATTGCAGCAAGGTAGGTTGAGGTTGGACATTAGGGAAAACTTCCTACCTGTCACGATGGTTAACACTGGAATAAATTGGCTAGGGGGGTTGTGGAATCTCCATCACTGGAGAAATTTAAGAGCAGGTTAGACAGACACCTGTCAGGGATGATCTAGACAGTGCTTGGTCCTCAGGGGGCTGGACTTGACCTCTCGAGGTCCCTTCTATTTCTAGGATTCTATGCTTCTGTGTGCACTGAGGCAAGTGTAGATGTGCACCACCAGTAGAAACACATATTGCCAGCTGTGGGCATTGTAGGTGTTCTGCTAATCAACTGGGCAGCCTTTGAATCTCTCCTGGTTGGCCACTCAAGGGCTTAGCTTACAGCAAACACTGCCTCTATCTGTATATGATAGCTATAAAGCATCCAGATAAGGGTATATATTAGTGATAGGATAGGAAATAGGAACATAGGTATTATTGGCATACTGAATCAAGCCCACGGGTCCTCCTAATCCAATATCATGTTGCAGACACGAGCCAGAACCAGATACTTCAGAGGAAAGGGAAAACTAGAAGTGGACAATTTGAAGTGGCAGTGAACAGCCTGCTATTAGGGTTAGTTTCTTCCTCACTTTCTCAGATGGAGGTTAACTTACTCAGCTCCAAAGTTGGGGGCTGTGCATAACTGGCATCTGGTTTCTCTCAAATAAACTGCACCTACCACCTACAGTTTTTACTTGAAAATCCGGAAGATGCCAAAGGCATGCAGATTTAATGGCTTCTCTCTTTGGATGAAAAGCAAGAAAGAAAATAAAAATGAGGTGGCTGAAAATGAAATATCCTCAAGGGATGAGAAACATCTTTATTTTAAACTAGATGTTTTACCCAGCCTTGTTCCAGTCCATAACTCAATTAATTGTTGTTTTTCTTCATTTCAATCATTGCTCTCGGGTAGGGCTGGAGAGGAGAGGTTCAGAATTCAGGTTGCCCCAGGAGAGAGGGGACAACCCCAGCCCTCTCACATCACCACAGCTTGGGACCAGGTGAGAAGCACCTTTCTGTGGCCACTGCCGCTCCAGCGGGCACAGCCAGGAAAAGGGTGTATGTCCCCCAGCTGGAGCAGGTCCAGGGTTCATCTGCCTCCTGTGCCCCCCAGTCACTGAAGAATGCAACAAACTGTGCACTTTTTCTTCTGTCCCTAAGAAAGTGGAACAGCCAGCAATGTTCCTGTACAAATTGGGGGGGAGGGAGATGCTTCAGTCCCCCTTCTATTCCTAAAAGGCACCCTGGGGGGCAGGGATCCTTGGGGCTGGGACAGTCCCAGATTGGAGGGGGTGCATGCCCCCAGCTAGCCCCTTTTACCTGCCTGGTGATTCTTTTCTCTATGGTTCCTGAGAAGCAATCCCATTTGCACATCCCATTGTCCACACACAACCAACCCCAACCTTGCTTTAAAGATAGGATAAGAGAAAGCTGCCTACCAAATTTGGTGGTCCTAGCTCCTACAATTTAGGAGGAGTTCTTGAATAGGCAGGCAGACACACAGACAGACTCTCTCAAATATATAGTGGATGAGCAGAAAAGGGAAAACGACAATTTTAAAAAAAGATGTCTGAAAATAGTTGGTGTTTATAACCCCCTTTCACCCAGAATCACTTTTACAAAGTGCGGTCACATTTTCTTCATTGACCCACATGGCTGTTCTCCCTTACAACTGTGGCACTTGCATCAGATTTGGGAATCACATGTACAGATCAGGCATTGATCTGAAGACAACAGAAAGACTTCGGTTGACTTCAGGGGGCATGGGATCATACCCAAAACTATGATGTGTGATGATACTAAAATTACTATTACATATTTTATAAAGTGCTCTTCTCTGTGGTATCTGAACATGCACCATGGGCAGAACTGAGTGCAAAAGGAGAATATGGCTGAATATTGTCCGCATGGTGTAATAAAGACACAGGAGTTATGTCATATACCCATGCCATGCAATTCTCTGCAAGAGAATGTCTCTCTATTTAACTGGGCACAGCAGTGCTATACAAAAGATGATGCAAAAGAAAGAATGTTACTATAAAGGATACTAGGTCCAGTTGAAACAAACTGGATAACATATTTGAAAGATGAAGGGGGAGCTTCAGAAGGTTGCAAAATTACTACAAATGTTAGAATTTAGCCAGACAATGCATGCTAGCATAGTTTTTCCTACAGAAAAAGTCCCCAGGCATTTTTAATTGCTCTGTATTGATTTCCATAAACCCTACGTGATATTTATTTCCCCATAAGAACATTTGTTTATTGATAAAAACAGAACATTAAGAATAATTAAAAAGAGATAAAGGATAAGACCGAGAATATCACATTGCCTCTATATAAATCCATGGAACATCCACATATTGAATGCTGCATGCAAATGTGGTCACCTTATCTCAAAAGAAATATCTTGGCATTTGAAATAGTTCAGAAAAGGGAAACAAAAATGAGTAGGGGTTTGGAACACCTGCCATCTGAAGAGAGATTAAAAGGACTGGGACTTTTCAGCTTGTAAAAGAGGAGACAAAGAGGGGATAAGATAGAGATCTATAAAATCATGACTGGAATGGAGAAAGTAAATAAGGAAAAGTTCCCATAACACAAGAACTACAGGTCACCAAATGAAATTAATAGGTAGCAGTTTGAAAAACAAACTAAAAGGAAGTATTTCTTTAAACAACAAAGAGGCAACCTGTGGAACTCCTTGCCAGAAGATATTGGAAAGGACAGAACCTTAACAAGGGTCAAAAAAAGAGCTAGATGAATTCATGGAGGACAGGTAAATTGATGGCTATTGGCGAGGATGGGTAAGAATAGTGTCCCTAACTTCTTTGAGTCAGAGGCTGGGAATGGGTAACAGAGGGTGGATCACTTGATGATTACATATTCTGTTCATTCCCTCTGGGGCACCTGACATTGACCACTGTTGGCAGACAGAATACTGGGCTAAAGGACTTTTGTCCTGACCTAGTATGGCCAATCTTATGTTTTTATATAAAAAGGGTTATTTATCATAGAAAGGACAGGAAAAAAGGGAATTCATACTTTTGGTGAGTAGTAGTGAATTACTTACATGTTCAAAAGGCTCAAGTGTTTTTAAAATGATATTTGTTTGGTAATGCACTAGACAAAAGTCTAAATTAGTTAGGACAGGAAAAGGGGGAATTCATACTTTTGGCGAGTAGTAGTGAATTACTTACCTGTTCAAAAGGCTCAAGTGTCTTTAAAATGACATTTGCTTGGTCATGGACTGGACAAAAGTCTAAATTAGGTAAGTGCATTACAGAGATTTAAAAATGGAAATATTCGCTCTCCCCCACGGGCCTTCTATGTAAAAATTGAAGATACCCATGATGCAGAAGTGTTCTCCATACCGCACCTGCTTCTGTTCATATTTCATCTATATCCACATTCAAATTTACAAGAAGCAAGGTATGTTTAAAAAAAAAAAAAGCAGTGTCTAACAAACGATTTGATGGGGTGTGGAAAATGGGAAGTGCAGAGCACGGGAAAACTCTTGCCGGGAAACTCATGTGACCTTTGAATGTCTTAAAACCCCAATATTAGTCCCCAGGAAATGGAGAGCATATTTGGAGAGTATAAAATCAGGAGCTCCATCAAGGTGAAGGCATTCAGATCGGTCTTTTTTGCCTCTTGTGAAATTGAACTAATAACTGGACCACAAGAAAGAAACTCAGCAGAGAAATGAAACTTCTCACAGCAGTCTTTTTCCTAGCTCTGATTGCCAGCATCCAACATGCCAGCTGCCAGCTCTCTGAAGAAAGCTGCACGAACCTCTCCAATCAGCTGCTCCGGCAGCTCAAAGCCCTGAGGATTGCATTTGCTGAAATTAAGGATTATTTTGTGAGTATGACACCTGTCAAAACTACCACCTTCTGTCTACTGCTTGTGTGAATTCAGTGATTTGGCATATCCCCATGGAGGAGGCAGGTTCCTTCGCTCAGAAAAGGCTCAGCTGCAAGCACACTCTGTTTTGGGTTCGGTGCTGGGAGTGAAATAAGTAGTTTAGTTTCATATCTTGCTAAGGGGAGAGAAAATCATTTCTTTTATCCAGATGCAACTGCGGAAAACTCAGCAGCTTTCACAATGAATTGTAGTCAATATTGCATTTAAATTGTTTCCTTTGCTGACAGAGATAAATTCAACTCATATGTAAGTGGGTGAAGTTAATGATGGATGAGATGGAAATATTTCACTATAGCTTTCAAGTTGTAGCTTAATATTTGTTCTTTAACACAACCAGTGCAAGTACAAAATTATTCTTTGTCTAGAGAATTTCATGCCCATTTCCCTCTCCTCCTGCCTGGGAATACTGTCTGTGGATAGGTTGCAAGGGAGAAGTACACCTTCGTGGTGGGAGATGTATGTATTGAATGGGTCTTGCTGACAGCTGAGCAAAGCAGTCATACGTAACATTTGTAATTGTATTAGAAAAAATATTGCCTTGAATGCCTCTAAACTGCAATATAAAAATCAAAAGGCATTATTTCCTAGTTATATAAAAAATGGATCTGTCTTCCCCCTAGGTTAGATCACCAAATAATGTCATCAGGTTTGTATTATCAGTCAAATTAACATGACACATGGTAGGTGGATAGGATTTAAGACTTTAAATCAAATTTTCCTACCAGTCTCTGAGTAACGTGCTGGTAACAGACCCTCAAATAGACCTGTTACTATCCATCACCGTAATTTTGGGCACTCTTACATGCACGCTATCAGAAATCAAGAGAAAGTAAGTGGGGTATGAAATGTAGGTTGTCCACCCACACGTGTGATTTGATTTGTTCCTATCTTTTGACTTAAAGCTAAGTTCATAAGATTATCAAAGCCAAATATGGGACTTTGTATCAGAGGCTTTTATTTCTAATGTTTACTTTAAAATGACAACACACACATGTACTGGCAAAAGTGATAGTTTGATTAACAGAAATACTTACACACAGTAGAAATGTAGGTTTTAAAGGCTGCCTGCCTTTGTAAAACTGACATTTATGTTGCCTACTTTTACAGCAAGCCAAAGATGATGAACTTGACATCTTGTTGCTAAAGGATGATTTACTGGAAGATTTCAAGGTAAGGTGGAACTTTTCTGTATATGGTAAATCAAATTCTAAGTTAATATTCCATTCTAAGAGAGGCAGCTTGAAGCCTTATACAAAGCTTAGGGTGTGTTAAAACTGGTACAGTAATATGATAAAAATACAATGCCCAGTTTCATTATATCTTTGCCTGTCTGGTTTCTATCCTAGTCACTCCCTATGAGCTTGCTCTGCTTCTGGTTTCATGCTTGGTTTGGGCTACTGGTCAGAGCACAGAACTGGGAGCCAGGAACGCTGGATTTCCAGGGTGCTGATGC